CTGGGTTTAACAGATATCTATAGAACATTCCATCTAAACACAAAAGAATATACCTTCTTCTCAGCGCCACATGGAACCTTCTCTAAAATTGACCACATAGTTGGCAGCAAAGCACAGCTCCACAGTTACAAAACAATTGAAATAATCCCCCATTTTTGTCAGATAACCATGCATTAAAGCTAGAATTCAACAGTAATACAAATTTCAGAAAACCTACATATTTGTGGAAAATGAATAATACCCAATTGCACCATTCTTGGGTTGAGGAAGAAATAAAAATAGAAATTAAAGACTTCCTAGAATTTAATGAGAATGTAGACACAACATACCCAAACTTATGGGACACTCTGAAAGCAGTGTTAAGAGGGAAGTTCATAGCACTAAGTGCCCACATGAAGAAACTTGAGAATAGTCACATTAGAGAATTGACAGAACAACTGAAAGCTTTGGAGCAAAAAGAAGCAAGGAGGAGTAGATGCCAGGAAGTAATTAACCTGAGGGCCGAAATCAATAAAGTAGAAACTATGAAATCAATGAAACAATCGAATCCAAGAACATATCAGAAAAATCATCCACCATGATCAAGTAGGCTTTATCACAGGGATGCAAGGATGGTTCAACATATGAAAATCCATCAATGTAATCCGCCATATAACCAAACTGATAAAGAAAAACCACATGATCATCTCACTAGACGCTGAAAAAGCCTTTGACAAAAATCCAACATTCCTTCATGATAAAGATCTTGGAGAGATCAAGAATAACAGAACATATCTAAACATGATAAACGCAATATACAACCAACCAATAACTAACATCAAACTAAATGGAGAGAAACTCAAAGCGTTTCCTCTAAAATCAGGAACAAGACAAGGCTGTCCACTCTCTCCATATCTCTTCAATATTGTACTTGAAGTTCTAGCTAGAGCAATTAAGACAAGAAAAGGGGATCAAAGGTATACAAATTGGAAAGGAGGAAGTCAAACTTTCATTATTTGCAGATGACATGATAGTCTACATTAGTGACCCGAAAAACTCTACCAGGGAACTCCTACAGCTGATAAACACCTTCAGCAAGGTAGCAGGATTCAAAATTAACTCAAAAAAATCAGTAGCCCTAGTATATATAAATGATAAATTCAATGAGAAAGAAATCAGGGAAACATCACGTTTCACAATATCCACAAGCAACATAAAATATCTTGGGGTAACACTAACCAAAAAAGTGAAAGACCTGTACAATAAGAACTTTGAGACTTTAAAGAAAGAAATTAAAGAAGATACCAGAAAATGGAAAGATCTCCCATGCTCTTGGATAGGGAGAATCAATAGTAAAAATGGCAATTGTGACAAAAGCAATCTACAGATTCAACACAATCCCCATCAAAATCCCAACACAGTTTTTCACCTACGTTAAAAGAACAATACTCAACTTTATATGGAAAAACACAAGACCCAGGATAGCCAAAACAACTCTTTACAATAAAGGATCTTCTGAAGACATCACCATCCCTGACTTCAAGCTCTACTATAGAGCCATAGTTCTTAAAACAGCTTGGTATTGGCACAAAAATAGACAGATAGACCAGTGGAATTGAATTGAAACCCTGCTATTAACCCACACATCTATGAACATCTTATTTTTGACAAAGGTGCTAAATCTATACAATGGAAAAAAGATAGCATCTTCCACAAATGGTGCTGGCACAATTGGATTCGGACATGCAGAAGATTGCAGATAGAACCATACTTGTCACCATGCACAAAACTTAAGTGCAAATGGATCAAAGTTCTCAGCATAAATCCAACCACACTGAATCTTCTAGAAGAGAAAGTGGGAATTACCCTTGAAAAATAAGGCAGAGGAGACTGCTTCCTGAACATTACACCAATAGCACCGACATTGAGGTCTGCAATTAATATATGGGACCTCCTTTAAACTGAGAAGCTTCTGCAAGGCAAAGGACACAGTCCGTAAGAAAAAATGACCACCCACAGAATGGGAAAAGATCTTCACCAATCCCACATCTGACAGAGGGCTGATTTCCAAAATATATAAGGAGCTCAAGAAGCTAGCCACCAAAATACCAAACAATGAAATTAAAAAGTGGGGTGAGAAACTAAATAGAGAATTCTCAACATAGGAATCTGAAATGGCTGAAAGACACTTAAGAAAGTGCTGAAAATCCTTGGCCATCAGAGAAATGCAACTCAAAACAACTCTGAGATACCATCTCACGCCTGTCAGAATGGCTAACATAAAAAACACCAATGACGATCTATGCTGGAGAGGATGTGGAGAAAAAGGAACACTCGTCCATTGCTGATGGGAGTGTAAACTCGTAAGACCACTTTGGAAATCAGTATGGCGGTTTCTCAGGAAAATGGGAATCAG